AAGGTTGACATATACGAAGCAAGAAGAAACCCTTTGGTATAAAGTTGTTTATGCTTTGTGAGTGCTACAGTGGTCTTGTATTGGACATTATTGTGTACACAGGAAGTAATACATTGTAAGATACCAGGAAGTTATTGGGCATCTCTGGTGATGTGGTTCGAACAATGATGGAACAATATCTTGGTAAGGGATACATATTATATACTGGTAACTGGTACACAAGCCCCTTACTCAGTGATTTTTTGCGAGTAAACATGATAGATGTGTGCAGTACAGTGTGTGCAAATCGTAAGCATATGCCTAGGTTCGACACTGACACTCGTAGAGGCGAGGTGCAGGCGTTTGCTGCCAATGACATCATGGCATTTCAGTGGCATGACAAACGAGATGTCACACTGTTGTCATCAGTTCACCCTAACGAAATGGCAGACACTGGCAGGCAGAATAGAGACCAATGAAACCATTCTAAAACCTGCAGCTGTGATGGACTACACTGTCAATATGCATTCAGTGGACAAATGTGACATGCAGATTGGGTTTGCTGATTGTGTTTGCAAGAGCTATAAGTGGTTCATAAAACTCTTTATCCATCTTCTGGACATTTCTATGCTCAATGCTTATAATATGTATAAGATGAGGACCAGAAACAAACCACCAAATGGCAAATTTTGTTTGTCTGTCATCAGACAAATAATATTCAAGTACCAAGTAACAACACCTGCAATAGAAAAACCGCCCACCAAATTATCAACAACTACCTTCTCATCTGAGGCCTGGTGATAACTTCCTAACAAAACTGCCTGCTACTGCTTCCAAGAAAAAGACTCAGAAGGGGTGTTTTGTCTGTGCACATACAAAAAAAAACGCCCACAACAATGCAGAGACACTTGTTTTATGAGTGAGGAGTGTAAAACACCACTGTGCATGGACCCTGCAGTGTATTTTTGTATGGTTTTACTATTGTATTCTAGTTTTCCTGGTCTCATTTTATAGAATGGAAGACATATTACAGAAATTGAGATGATTTTGACTGGTTTCATAATGAAAAGTACCTTGAAATTGAGCTCAAAGTAGCAGAAATGTTCGATTTTTACCAAATTTCAAAAGTAAACAAATCATGCCAAGCGTCCAATACACATCAACTGGCGAGTCTAATATTCTTTCACAAGTGCACTGATATTATTTATACCATTTCTACACCATTTATACACTAACATCTTCATCAGAGTACAAAACAAATTCTGGCCACGAAATAGAGTGAAACACCAACGTCAAAGACCTGGGAGTGATTATGTCGGAGGATCTCACCTTCAAGGACCATAACATTGTATCAATCGCATCTGCTAGAAAAATGACAGGATGGATAATGAGAACCTTCAAAACTAGGGAGGCCAAGCCCATGATGACACTCTTCAGGTCACTTGTTCTATCTAGGCTGGAATATTGCTGCACTCTAACAGCACCTTTCAAGGCAGGTGAAATTGCCGACCTAGAAAATGTACAGAGAACTTTCACGGCGCGCATAACGGAGATAAAACACCTCAATTACTGGGAGCGCTTGAGGTTTCTAAACCTGTATTCCCTGGAACGCAGGAGGGAGAGATACATGATTATATACACCTGGAAAATCCTAGAGGGACTAGTACCGAACTTGCACACGAAAATCACTCACTACGAAAGCAAAAGACTTGGCAGACGATGCACCATCCCCCCAATGAAAAGCAGGGGTGTCACTAGCACGTTAAGAGACCATACAATAAGCGTCAGGGGCCCGAGACTGTTCAACTGCCTCCCAGCACACATAAGGGGGATTACCAACAGACCCCTGGCAGTCTTCAAGCTGGCACTGGACAAGCACCTAAAGTCAGTTCCTGATCAGCTGGGCTGTGGCTCGTACGTTGGTTTGCGTGCAGCCAGCAGCAACAGCCTGGTTGATCAGGCGCTGATCCACCAGGAGGCCTGGTCACAGACCGGGCCGCGGGGGCGTTGACCCCCGAAACTCTCTCCAGGTAAACTCCAGGTAATGCAGTAGTCTGCATAACAGTAAATCTTCTATTTTTTGTGAGAATAAAAATTCAAAGTGGAAAGCAAAAGAGATGTAAGAGAGGCCTGGGGACGTGACTAATGAACAGAGAAAATGTTGTTTTAGTGCCAGGAATGTCTGTCTTGCTTATGGACCCTATTTGGAAATTGGCATCTTCTGAAATTTGTGTGACATTGGCAAAATTGCCAATTTCTGATCACTTTATTGGATATTTTAAATCAGTAAATGGGTGGTTTCTTGTACTCATTCGATAGAAAAAATGGAGTTCTAGCGAAATAGATACGATTTTTGTCGACTAGTACACTGAAATTGGCCAAAAATAGGGATCAAAGTGGGCGAAATCGCTGATGCGTAAACATTGTCGAGACCGCTAACTTCGCAAGAGCATAATTCCATAAGTTTTCCATCAAATTTCATACTTTTGGTGTCATTATGATCAGGAAAAGATTCACTATCATTCATAAGAAAAAATCATTTTTTTTTTACGAAAAATTTTCGACCCTGTGAACGAGTTTAGAAGAGGGCCTCTCGACCCTGAAAGGGTTAATATATTACTAATTAGATTTTTTATTGAATTATTAAATACCTCCAATATAAAAAAAATTAAGTATTCTTATTCTCATATACGTACTACTAATCATAATATAGTTTTAAGGCTGCCAGTAATGCCTTCATAATAAGGGTCTTTTTATAAAGTAGTTTATATATCAATCACCCTAATTATATAATATACTGTACTGTATAATTATATAATATACTGTGCTGTATGTACTGTATAAAGTTTGTTATGTTTGAGTTGTTCCAGCCATGATACTGAGACTTAATATTTTTTAATATATATATAATGACCTCAGATATGTGCGATCGTAATTTAATGGCAGCTACAGTGAGAAATTGATGGAGTAAAATACAATAAAACAAATTATTTCTTTATGCAATACAAATAATGTAGCTGAAACGTAATAAAGCTTTGGTAGACACAAAAGGAAGCCACTAATTATGCAATGGATTTTGAGTAAACTAATCCTAATGCTTAAAAGTTACTTAGGATCTGGATATAGACTTAAGTAAGACTTTTTATGCATTAACTACAATCGTAAGTACAATAAGAAAGGTAGCTAATAAACAAATGATCAGTTACAAAAGTATTAGAGGGTATTTTAAACAGATTCAGTGATTTTCAGTTTTGTGGAGTGACTGAATAGAGATGAAAATGAAAATGTTTATTTCCTTGCAAAGCTTACAATGTGTGGTTTACATATAACAAAATATTAATTGCAAAGAATGCCACTAGCATGCCTAGGCATTTTGGGTAGACTAATCCTAATTCTTACTGTATATTGATACAGATTATGGAGCAGTACATTTTAATATACATTATTGAATACTGAAGTACACCTGGTATACTGAAGTATACCTGGTATACTGGAGTATACCTGGTATACTGGAGTATACCTGGTATACTGGAGTATACCTGGTATACTGGAGTATATCTGGTATACTGGAGTATACCTGGTATACTGAAGTATACCTGGTATACTGGAGTATACCTGGTATACTGAAGTATACCTGGTATACTGGAGTATACCTGGTATACTGGAGTATACCTGCTATACTGGAGTATACCTGCTATACTGGAGTATACCTGGTATACTGGAGTATACCTGGTATACTGGAGTATACCTGGTATACTGGAGTATATCTGGTATACTGGAGTATACCTGGTATACTGAAGTATACCTGGTATACTGGAGTATACCTGGTATACTGAAGTATACCTGGTATACTGGAGTATACCTGGTATACTGGAGTATACCTGGTATACTGGAGTATACCTGGTATACTGGAGTATACCTGGTATACTGGAGTATACCTGGTATACTGAAGTATACCTGGTATACTGGAGTATACCTGGTATACTGGAGTATACCTGGTATACTGGAGTATACCTGGTATACTGGAGTATATCTGGTATACTCCAAAGTTATTAGTTAGATTTATAATAATGAGGTACTAGACTTTTAATAATAAGGTACTAGACTTATAATAATAAGGTACTAGACTTTTAATAATAAGGTACTAGACTTTTAATAATAAGGTACTAGACTTATAATAATAAGGTACTAGATTTTTAATAATAAGGTACTAGACTTTTAATAATAAGGTACTAGACTTTTAATAATAAGGTACTAGACTTTTAATAATAAGGTACTATACTTTTAATAATAAGGTACTAGACTTTTAATAATAAGGTACTAGACTTTTAATAATAAGGTACTAGACTTTTAATAATAAGGTACTAGACTTATAATAAAAAGGTACTAGACTTTTAATAATAAGGTACTAGACTTTTAATAATAAGGTACTAGACTTTTAATAATAAGGTACTAGACTTTTAATAATAAGGTACTAGACTTTTAATAATAAGGTACTAGACTTTTAATAATAAGGTACTAGACTTATAATAATAAGGTACTAGACTTATAATAATAAGGTACTAGACTTATAATAATAAGGTACTAGACTTATAATAATAAGGTACTAGACTTATAATAATAAGGTACTAGACTTATAATAATAAGGTAGTTGATTCATTCAAGGGAATGACTCCAGCTGGAGTCATTCCCTTGAATGAATCAACCTGAACTTCCTACTCATTTCTGCAACATTGTAAGCGCCTGAAGATGTGTTGATTGCAACACGAAAGGCTTAAGAGCTATCATTCAACTCCCCCTGTGGTTGTTTTGCATCTTGTATTGCTTATTCACGACTACTGCATCTTGTTACAAGTTGAATTACTTTCTGCTCTAAAGTAGAAATGAACTTCGTATTATATTAAGCTGGTGTTCCAGAACACATTTGAACGTCTACCAGCCTCTACTGGAGCATTATTATACTTGTTGTGCACTAGCTTTGGTTAGTTAATACACTCAGGGTTCATCACTGCACACTATACCTTTCATCTGCATGTTGAACACTGAACAAATATGGTACAACTGTCTTGATATAACACCTCTGCTGTGTGACTCACTTCACTCTGATAGTGACGGTGTTCACTGCACTCCACAAGTGCCACTAACATCACCTTTGGCGAAAAAAAATGAGAAAGGCTTAACGAGCATCGCTAAAATGAAGGTCCATCAAGTTCCTGATAAGAATGAGGCACTAATAATAGGGAGAAAAGAGTGTAATTATAGCACTTGCTAACCTTTGACGCCAGCCATGTTTGTTGTTGCTCTCTGCGATTCATAACATTATTATATTAAAACAAATTTAGCCGACATAATAACGTAATGTTTGTAACTATTTACATTAACAAATTAAAGTTTTTAACACTTTCAAATTATTAATAATACAGTAATAAATATAATGGTTTAATTATACTATGAATCGCAGGTGAGCGCAGACGATATAGGTAACTTTTATTATGAATGTCTTCAGTGTCTATTTAAACATTTGAATGTCCTCATTGAACATTTTACTGTCATTGAGCTTCAACTACAACACGTAATTTGACATCCAAACACTATTGTTACTGATCTGTTGTTGTTGGTATTATTATTAACAAGGAAATGTGTCTGGCGTCTCAAGAAAATAAAGTAACTTATGAATTACCTACTTTATTATGGAAGACAGTAATAATCTTGTTAAAAATTATGTATAACAGTACCTAAGTAAACTTAGGTGTGCAGTGTTCTAGGTGTAGCACTGTATAGTCCTTGTGGCTTAGCGCTTCTTTTTGATTATAATAATAATAATCTAGGTGTAGCAGTCAGGTCACGGTGAATGTTAAGTTAAGCTTTATTAAGAGAAGCTTACGGCGCTGTATCACCCTTGTAGGTTTAGTGCTTCTTTTTGATTATAATAATAAGCTTAATTTCATATATTATTATTTTTATTGAGGGGGAGATGGAAAGGAAGATTTTATTCGGAATATAGAGTCCCTTAACATTGTCCCCCAGGATGCCACCCACACCAGTCAACTAACACCCAGGTACCTACTTACTGTTAAGTTGACAGAAGGTGAAAGACTAGTGTCACCCAGGTACCTACTTACTGTTAGGTTGACAGCAGGTGAAAGACTAGTGTCACCCAGGTACCTACTTACTGTTAGCTTGACAGCAGGTGAAAGATGAGTAACGCCCAGGTACCTACTTACTGCTAGGTGAACAGGAACAGGAGATGTAAGGAAACATGCCTATTGATTCCACATCAGAAGAATCAGGGTTTTATCCCTGGATAAGTGGAAACATTAGTTACTGTGTGTTCCCTTGTGCTTGTTGTTCCATTCACCTAGCAGTAAATGGGTACTTGTGAGTTATTTAATCCCTGTGAGCCATATCCTTTGGAAGGATCAAAAAATGGAATCATTTAGAAATTTGTTACATTGATTGGCTTTACTGCCAATATTTCATTACATGTAAACTACATTATCCTTGCTCAGCATTACAAAAAACATAAATTGAATTTATCCTGCTTTACCATTTTGGGATAATATCTGAATAAAATAAAAATTTATTAGACTGAGAAATCAAAATTATTCTTATCGAAATTAATCAAGCATTAATTGATTTACTTTATTCTATTTATTGTGTGGTGTATATAATTTTTTATGGTTATGAGTGCTGAGTGGCTTACTCAGTGCTCCATGAGCGACATAACTACACCACTACCACTGCCATTGCTACATAAACTACCGTATTTCGCGGCTTATAAGACGCGGCTTAAAAGACTTGTTTTAGTTTCAGTGGCTTGGCATCGGACGTAACTGGGAGAGCTACAGCCCACCCCACACCCTAAACTTATAGCTCCCATCACTGACCTTCAGTTTATAGGACACAGGGTGGTTTTTATAGACATTTTATGGAAAAAATGTGTCTAATAAGCCGCGAAATATGGTAATTTACATATTTATCTTAGATGGAGACAGTTAAATTAATGTTAAATGTTGACCATGAACTGCTGTACTCCAAATTAATGCACTATGGTATCAGAGGCCACTCCCTCAACTACCTAAAGTCATACCTTAGTAACTGAACTCAATATGTGTATGCAAATGACGCAAACTCTTCCACCCAACCAATCACAGTAGGAGTTCCACAAGGAAGCATCCTTGGACCACTCCTCTTTCTCATCTACATCAATGATCTACCGAATGCATCACAGCTACTCAAACCCATATTATTTGCAGATGACACTACATATGTCTTTTCCCACCCAAACACAGTCATACCAGCAAACACAGTCAGTGCTGAATTACAGAAAATATCTGCCTGGATGATGACTAACAAACTTACCCTGAACACTGATAAAACCTATTTCATTTAGTTTGGAAACAAAGCTGCAAATGATCCAATTAACATTACGCTTAATGGATCATCAGTCACAAGACTCACAGAGGGAAAATTCCTAGGTATCCACCTTGACAGTAGCCTTAAGTTCCGGACACACATACAACAAATCACCAAGAAAATCTCCAAGACTGTAGGCATACTATCAAAGATAAAGTACTACGTTCCACAATCAGCTCTCCTGGCACTGTACCATTCACTCATATACCCTTATCTTACATATGGAATTTGCACATGGGGATCAACAACATCCAATCACCTAAAACCCCTAATAACCCAGCAAAAGGCAGCAGTAAGAATGATAACAAATTCCCACTCCTGCCAGCATACTCCACCAATTTTTAAAAGTCTGAATCTGCTCACCATTAAGAACATCCATACTTATTCATGTGCCTACTACATACACAGAACAATACATGCAAATATAAACCCCCCCACTCAAACTTCTCCTCACCAACCTAAACAGGACATATGACCACAACACAAGACACAGATCTCTTTTTGATATACCTCGTGTCCATATCACACTGTGTAAAAACTCTATGCACATAAAGGGCCCCAAAATATGGAATTCATTACCAGAAGATATTAAAGTAACTCAATCTGAAAATCAATTTAAGACTCTTCTCAAAAGCCACTTAATCACCCTAGACTAAATGCTAAATACTCAGTACACACTTACTCACCTATGTACTCCCACATCATAACTGAAACAATCACATTGAACCTTTTATCCATTGTTGACAGGAATATAATTGAATCATTGTTTTCACAAAAGCATTTTTGAATATAAATACGTATATCTTTGTATTATACAAATTTTGATTAATTTATAATTAATATTCTACTTTACAACTATGAAATAATTACTATCCTACTGTACAACTATGATACACTCCTTAGTATTACGTAGACTGTAAGCCAATAATGTTAAGTTGGCCCATAATGCCTAGGCATAATAGAGGCTCTCTCTGCATTGCAACCCACTATTGTAAATACAAAATCTCTATGTACTGTTTGCAAAGACATAAAATAAATAATAAATAAATGTTTGTGAGTGAAGTTAAAAAAGGTCAATAATGCACATTTAATGATAAGATGAGGGATAATACTTGTGTCCCCCAGCACAGTAAATTTAACAAAGACATCCTGGATGTACTACCTAAGAAAACTTCTAAAATAATGGGCTTTCTTTCCAAACTATATTATTGTGTCCCATACATGCATTTGCTCTATATCATGAACATAGGTAAAACATTATACTCAATAAGTACTTAATCTCAATATCTGTAATCCTTTCAAATGTTACTCAATCCACTATGTCAGCTTTAGGTTAATAGATTAATTAAAAATAATTCCTCTCTATCTAACTTATAAAAGCCATATAACATGAACTAGTAAAATATTCAATTATCTTGTATTCATCATAAACTCCTAAATTTAATTACTTATTCTGTTATTGCCTTATTAAGTTAGTCTTAAGTTTGCCCGAAATGCTCTGCATATAAAGGGGCTTTCTGCATGCACACACAATTGTCATACTCCTTTGTACAAGCATGAATCATGCTGAAATAAACTTCTTATTCTTATAACCAACACTACTTGCTTTGTACTACTCATTAATCTACCCATATCTCATCTGTGGTATATATATGCATAGGGATCTACATCACGTCATTTAAAACCCATCATAACCCAACAAAAAATCTGTCATTGGAGCAATCGTTTGATCTAATTCCAGAAACTTATCCCTACCATGATTCAAAAATTTGAACCCTCTTAACTCTAGTGAGGTACAGTATTCACTTCTGTGGGTTTTGAAATAGATTTGTGATAAGCTTCACATTCACTTCAATGATTGTTACTAAATGTTTCTCTGTATCAACGATAAATTTGAATTAGAACGATTATATTGCAATATTTGTCCTCGCTGGGTATAGCATACTCAAGTAAAAGGCATGAAGACTATTTCTAGTAGTACTGTACTGTACATAGCTCTAGGGTTAAGATACAAGGTACTATATCCACACATGCTGCTGTAATGTCCATATTACTTTCTACAGAACACTTAATACAGATATTAACCCTGAGCTAAAACATTTGCTGAAGAATGCAACAGATCACCTCTCTTTAATATGCCATGTACATGTCTGAACCCGAGTAAACACTACACACAAATCAAAGGACCCAAAATTTAGGTCAAGTGAACTGATGGATCAAAATACTGTCTCCCACTAGCATAAAAAAAACATTATCAAAGAACATATCATGAGTTTGATGATGCCATTAGCGGTTACACAGCCATACACAACTGTAGGCCAGATCAACAAGGGGGTGGCACAACTATATACTACTCAGACCAACTAGAATGTATCAATAATACATGCACAAGGGATGAACATGGGGAATATATAATAGCTAAATTCAAATCCAAATACCTACAAAAACCTCTCACAGTGATAAACATCTACAGAATACCACAGTCAAACACTAGCCATTGTAGTGCAAACCTAGGAAGCATGATAACTGATGCACACATGAATAAAGATCACTTGATACTCTCAGGTGACTTCAGTATAAATCTCCTGCAAGACCAGGACCCACACATTACTGAATTCACAAACACTGTGAGTAACTGTTTGTTGCTACCAACAGTAACAAAACCTACAAGAGTTACAGAGACTAGTGTTTCCCTACTAGACCACATCTGGACCAACATCACATCCCCTTTAAAATCAGGCATAATCACAGATAATACCACAGACCACTACCCTACCTTTCTCATAACCAGTCTAGGTAAATTACTCCAAGACACTACTTAAGTCACTTTCAGACTTCATAATGAGGCAGCCATTAATAACTTCACAACAGCAGTAGCAAACATTGACTGGCACACTGAGCTAGAAATCTATACAGATATTGACAAATGTATTAATAACTTTCAAAAAAAGACCCAATACCTCTATAACAAGCACTGCCCTAAAAAAACTAAACAGATGACAGCTAAGAGACTGAACAGTCCCTGGCTAACACCCAGCATCCTCAAATCCATAAATACAAAACA